GAAACTTAGTGGAGGAAGAGAAAGGGACATATCTGTGCTCAATGAGTCGGGCTTAAACTGGTTTTAATGGAAAAAAAGTGCCGTCAAAAGCTTCGTGCATATACATTATGCGCAGTAAACCAGAAAAGAACCAGAAGGTAAACCAAACCTTCAGCCTTCTTCTTAAGCTCCCACATGCGGTCAAAGAGACTGCCTTGAGCCTTTGGACCACCCCAGGCATCCTTTTCCTCGTTTTTTTCCTCTGGTGGTACTGCTTCTTTTTCTGCCTTCGTTTCCTCATCAGAGGCCTCGCTGGCCTCAGTAAAAGCCAGGGTGCCCAGTTTTTGACGCACCTCGAAGAACTGGCAGAAATAAAAACGAACTGAGCATTAAAAGCGTTCCTGATTAACTTAACATTCTGAAAAGCTATAAACCTCCAACGTTTCTGAAATCAGGAAGTGTATATTTGCAAGCAATGACTTTCATAAGAATAAGTTGTGCAATCGAAAAAAGTATGTACACTGCGTATTCGGCAACTTAAAACCATAGGTCAGTATAGCATGTTGTGCTTGATGAGGATAGTAACGTGTTGCTCCTAATGTATTGCTGTCGAAAAAGATTTACTTCCGAAAAGCGACAGACTTGTGGATAAGCTGTACGCCTAAATACGCAAGAGTGCGGCTCGGACATTAATCAAATATAATGTGGCCCCCTCGGAGCAGCTTTATTTCGTCAAAATTGTTTGAAGGTAGTAGACAGTGCCGCGAAAAATCAGAGCATCCCGTAGTCTAATCCAAATGTCCGGTCTGCGTCAACTTAAGTCAGTTAGGCTTCAAAGCGAAATATTAGACGTCCACGGTGCATAACATGTTTGAACATAGAAGGAACCAGAGACTTGGTGAGTAGTCATGTACAGTGGAAAAAATTCGGCATCAAGCTGCCGGCAACGCTAACGACTACTGCCGACGCTGTTCAATATCTACATGCGGGACCTCCAGCTCCCTCTGGCACCTGCCAAAGTGGATTAATTCGCGGATGATGTCACCTCCTTCTACCAACACCATCACATTGATCAAGCTGCGCAGATCCTCTCGGAGTGCATGACTGACGTCGTGGACTTCTTCACTCAGCAAGAGTTGACGATCTCGGCGGCCAAGTCGTCCGTCACTGTTTTCACGCTGGACCCGAAGGATTTCGATCGTC